CCCGGGAAACAGCCCCGGCGCGGAAGCTGACCGGCAACGCGCCACTCCGACGGGAATGCCGGGGCCTCGGTGCAGAAAGAAGGGTCCGCTGAGCCCGCCCTTCCACGGCTGCTGGACTTCGCCCTACCCTTCCCTTCGTTCCCTCTCCCCTCCCAAATCTTCAGTTCTCTCCCGACGTCTCCAAAGATTCCCACGATCCTCCCCCACCCCCCAAGGTCTCTTACCCTTTCTTATTTCTCCCTCTCCTCTCTCTCTCCCTACACAAAGTATAACCCTTCGGCCACTTCGTACCCCGCTGACCTCTCCCGTGGAAGGCGAATAGGACTTACCACCTTCATGACAACAAGTATTTTCTCAGGCTAGGTCTTGCGCGGCACTTATTTTTCTGTGCGTATGTTTTCTATTCTCTACGAGGATTACTGTATTTCTCGTGTCGTTGCTGATCTGGTGCTAGGCACACGTGGGGAATCCATGATACGTGTGGGTTGATCGCAGGTCATGCTGTGGGATTTGAGCCCACAGTCTGCAGCGGCCGTTCGCCACCAGCGAGTGGCTGTCCTTCTCTCCACCAGTGTATGCAACCGATGCCGCATACGTTTAAATCAACGCTGGCTGCTCTTCTGAATGGTCCCGTCTGTTGATACTTGAGAAAAAATTCTAGGGATTTTTTTTTTTCCAGTTGGCAAGATGCTACCCTGTGCTTAGAGAGAACATGGATTAAACAGGTGGTCTGTGGCAAGTCTTCCGGCCACACACACGCACACGAAAAATTTCATGTGTTCCACGCCCACCCGCCACCTATGATCTTCAATATGTGTCAGCCCAGAAACCAACAACAAGGTGAAAAGAAAAAAACAAACAAAAAGCACACACACACACAAAAACAAAACAAAAAAACCCCACTCTCCTCACCGCCTTCCACCAGCCTTTCTGAAGTTACTATTTATTGGATATCTACCGCCATCTAACGGAAAGAGTGAAAAAGAAAATGAGACCTACAGAGCCCAATGCTATTTGAAAATCGATACTTGGCAGCCAAGCCGAAATTTTATTTTATAGCAGCTTCACACCCACACAGACACACATGCAAATCACAGCATGCTTTACAGAGTTCATTTAAACCCCAGATTATAACCACAAGCTTTGGGCACGAATTTTCATGCCTACGGTTCTCAATTTTTCTAGGATAGAACCTGGAATTTCACTGGTTTTCAGCTCAGTGAAGTGCTACCACATAAACCCGTGCAGGAAGTGGAGGTGAAAACCAAGAGTGAACTGGCAATCTCTAAAAAATTATGTTCATTTTCTTAGGATCTACTTTATATTGCTGCTCGCTTCACAAATAGGATCTTTGAATTGAGGACTGCCTTTAAGCAAGGAAGAACCCTATCACAAAGGCAAATTCTGGGTTAATTTTTAGAGTGCCATGCCAAAATTCTGTGCCATTGCAGGGACAGTATTATTATAAAACACAGAAAGCATCACTTTTTGGTGAAAACATGTTAAAGCACCCGGCCAACATGGCTCAGTGGTTGAGCTTTGACCTATGAACCAGAGGTCATGGTTCAATTCCCGGCCAGGGCACATGCTGGGTTGCAGGCTGGATCCCCAGTGTGGGGCATACAGTCAGTCAGTGATTCTCTATCAACACTGATGTTTCTATATATCTATCCCTCTCCTTTCCTCTCTGAAATCAATAAAAATATCCTATATAATAAAAGCCTAATATGCAAATTGTTCAACCGGGAGTTTGAGCACTTGCTATGACGTGTGTGGCGTGGAACATGGCAGGGCCGCAGCCTCCAGGACCACAGGGGCCGGTCGGGCTCCTCATGGGTTCTCTCAGGAGCCGGTCTGCAAGGCCGGCCGGGAGAGAGCGTGCTGCCCACCCAGCTTTCATGCTGCGCCACTGGGCGGCCCAGAGGCCCACGCTGCAACCTGGCCTGCGGTGTCCGGCCACGCTCACCACATCTCCGCGTGGGGACTTGGGCCGTGACTCAGGTGGAGGGGGGCGCACGGGGGACCCGGGGCCCAGGTGCTGCCCAGAGCCCTGAGGTCAGCTGGGACCTGCCCTTCTGTGCCAGACGCTCACCCTTCAATCTCTGGCCAGGCCTAGGGACCACACCCACGCATGAATTTCGTGCACCGGGCCTCTAGTGTGTATATATATATATATACACATACACACATATATATATGAAAACATGTTAAAGCTATTAAAGCAGGCATTAAATTATTTGATATCTTTTAAAATTCTATAAATAGATTCATGCTTTATCTTCTCACCCAAATCATATTTGAAATACCTGTGGATGGGTTATATCAGGCACCCTTGAAAGCATGTGAGACAGATCCTCTCCTCTAACATTTTCAAATAAACACTGAAGAAACACGAAATGACTCTAAGCTTTTATATCCTACGGAAGTCAAAGGACAATTTGGTGTGGAGGTAGGTGAAGAGGGAATTTGGGGGATTGCAAATTTGGGAAAATAGTGAAGTCATTATTAAAGTACTTAACTTTGGTAAACCAGGAGCAAGCCTGATATAAAGAGGCGGTTTGTTCGGCATTTTACTTTTATTATTTTACAGGAAAGCACTTTCCACTGGAGTGTGTCCAAGCCAGCATCTGGCACCTGGGAAAGTGAGAGTTTGAGCAAGCTGCACATGAAATATAAATAAAATTTAGAGAATTGTTGGTGCAGCAGGCCTTGGTTAGAAGCCAAATATCACAGCTGCCTTTGAAAGGGGCGTGGAAAGAGGGGATTTGCAATGGAAATGATTCCAAAATCATAATTCTAGTGGGTGTTTGTTACAAGAGGCCCAAGGAGACTCATTGGGCTTCCTGTAAAGAATAGCCAACATCCTTTGGCTTCCCGAAAGCACTCTCTCTGCTTATGTAGGTCAAGAGACACACTTAAAAAGAATGTCCTGCCCAGCCGGTGCGGCTCAGTGGTTGAGCATCGACCTATGAACCAGGAGGTCATGGTTTCATTCCCCAGTCGGGGGACCAGGTTGCAGACTTGATCCCCAGTGGGGCGGGGGGGAGGGGTGCAGGGGGCAGCTGATCAATGATTCTCTCTCATTATTGATGGGACCGGGTTTCGGACTTGATCCCCAGTGGGGGGGAGAGGAGTGCAGGGGGCAGCTGATCAATGATTCTCTCTCATTATTGATGTTTCTATTTCTCTCTTCCTCTCTGGTATTTAGTTAGTAATGTTACATAAATTGACTGGCTATTCTGAAAATTATTATTGTTTTAAAATAGTTATTAAGGAGCTACAAAATGCCTGACATTGTACAGAACATACACAATCACAACATTTTCCTATTGGGAAATGGAATTCTAAGGTACATGATGTCATACAAAACATGCACAGAAAAAAATATACATATTTGTCATCTTTAAGATTCATAAATCACATTCCTTAGTCTTCAGGTATAGTAGCATTTGTGCACGAAGATGTATGTGTGCAGATATTTATTGATACACTTGTGAAATTAGAAAAACAAAGGGAAGAGTCTAATTGTGAATCAAAGAGGATGATTCAGTTATGGCACTTTCATCATTAGGGATATAATCTGGCCATTGAACAGAATTAAGGAGATTTCTTTGTACACTTATTGGTCTCCATTCTCCAGAATAGATAGATAGATAGATAGATAGATAGATAGATAGATAGATAGATAGATAAGGAATTGCCTAAATTAGGTTGTTGTAATTTCCCATTGACCTTAATCACAGGGCATGGTAACTAAGAGACCTCCATATTTCAGACATGCTCTCTTTTCCCTCCACTGTAGACTAGTAGTCCAATGTCCCCTTGGTAGTCAGGATCAATCACCCCACCCAGCATAGTAACTCCCTTCTTTGCCTGTTAATTCAGAGATATGAGGAGCCCAAAGTGGCTGGGTCTTAACTTCCAGTGCAATGGAACCATTGTGGTGACTGCTGGTGGAAGCATTTTCCCCTTTGGAATTAAGATGTCTAGACCAGCAAAACATAAGTTTGTAGGAACAAGAAGCAAACTTGTACCTGAGGAAGAAGCAGTGAGTGATGACACTCCCATTTCCACCCCTTGATTCCTGGACTCGTCACATACACTGACGTGGAATATCTCTATGATGCAGCACAAGAGAAAGGAAGGTGCAGAATAGGAGGACATACTAGGCAACTGCTTGTAAATTTTTAAGTGGAGAAAAATACATATGCAAACATAATGTTTATATATGCATGACATTTATCTGGAAAGACATGTAAGAAATAGTAACAGATTGCTTGGGGAAGGGAGTTAAAGGAAATAGGTGAGAAAAATATGGAAGCTCTAATTCCAATCCAAGAAAAAAAGTACTTTTTGAAATTTCAAATAGGACTTATTCAAAAGATCACATACTATAAGTGGAGAAGGAAGATTTAAAGGACAGCAGGACATCTCAAAATGAACGAGAAAAAAATGTCTTATACACAAAAATTCAAATTCTGTTATAACAAAACTGCTAGCACAAAATGAACATTGTTATAATAGAAAAGCTTCCCAAATCCCATAGTTCAAAAACGAATTGACAAAATTTGAATCAAAATTGATTCAAACAAAAAATTGTGTTCCATTTCATTGAGAGTTCCCTGTAAAAGATTTTACCTGTAGATGAATGCCATTTTACAGTTTTTACATCTGTTTTATCTTTTCCTTTTTAAAAGGCTGGTCTTTTGCAGCAGATCCACTGATAAGGGAAATTGCTTGATAGAGAGGTGAGTGAAGCAAAACATAGAGGTGAGACTTGAGAAGGATCGAGATGAAGGAAGGGAAAGAAGGGTGCTGTCCTCGTAGGTTACAGCAGAAGTAGGGTGCTTATGTTTCTAACACCAACTTGATCTATAATTTTGGGAAGTAACCATTATTGTTCACTTTATTGTTCATCTTGTCTCCCAGAAAAGCAGAAGGAGTCTAGTTCTTGAAGCCTCCTAACTCTTTTCTGAGTCAGAAGTGCAAGGAGCTAGAAAATCAGAATGCATATTTCTATTTGCCTCCAATACTTCCCAGATCAAATCTCAGGATCACAACTTGTCACCCACCTGCTACATCCTGTTGCAGATGTAGCCAACGTGTCTGATTCGTCAACCAAGTCTGAAGTCGGTCCTAGCAACCCACCAGACTGCCAGACTGTTTGCCAAACCTCCAATAACGCTGGTAAGCAAAGCCAGAGCAACAGCACAAGAGATAGCCAGCAGATCCGGATGGCTGGGTACGGGCGAGTAAATAAAACTCCCAAACAATGATGCTGAGGGAGAAATCTGCTCCAGAACCTGGAGACCACCCACCAGAATCAGGCTGGAGGCTCAGGCTCTGTCACTGGAAACAGTACAGGATACTTCTGCTCTCATCGTGGCTATCACAGGTCAAAGGCAAAAAGGATGAAGAAATAATAATAATAAATATCTTCTAAGAATTTACACTTGACTGAGGACAGGACTCAAAGAAATGACACGAAGTCAAGAAGTCCAAACTCATCTCCCAAACACGAAAGAGCCCAGGTTATTAAGAATGATTCTGAGCGCCCTGGCTGGTTTGGCTCAGTGGATAGAGCGTCAGCCTGTGGACTGAAAGGTCCCAGGTTCGATTCAGGTCAAGGTCACATGCTCGGGTTGTGGGCTCGATCCCCAGTAGGGGGCGTACAGGAGGCA